AATACGATATAAAATTATGTGAATATCCAATAGACTTTGTCGTCAAAAATAAATATAAAAATTTGAAAAATTGATTGCATTTATAGACTATGAATATAGAAATTGTGTTCAATAGATAAATTGAGAGCAAAATATAACTCTATTATCAATTATCAAGTATATGTAGAAATTAAAGCTTTTGAAGCATTCATTGGTAAACAAAAAAAATGAATAATCAGTTCAACAATAAATTCACTTAAGATATGTATAAATAAATCAATCGATTTGTGAGCAATGGCTACACACTAGCGATGGTCACCTTAGGAGACAAAAGGGTCTCCCGACTGGAGTGACCCCCTATTGTGGCCCCTGAATGGGATCGTGAGTCTGTGGTATACGGCACTGCAGGGGGTTCTCGGGGTTTATGTAATGCTCTTTGTTAGCGATGTTGAAGATTATGGCGAATCCCATGAGCAGTATGTAGACGACGAGCACAACCCATCCCAGAATGGTCTCCCATCGGCGCACCCGGAGGTTACGCAACACATTAATGCCCACCAGAAAGCCGGCCAAAGCGCCGGCGATGTGCGCCGAATAGGAGGTCCTGTTTTCCTTGTCATCGGTATATCGGCCATAAATAGCGACTCCGATATCAGTTCCGCCGAACAGCAGAAGACCCGCCAAACGGATCCAATTGAACTCCATTTCACCCCAATTCTAGTGATGATATCAATTGAATATATCACTCAATATATGGTTGCAATGAATGGAGTGAAGAGTGAACTCACGATCACAACACTCGCCAAATGGGCGGATATGAGGGCATAGACACCACCGCTCGCACCGGCGAGGAAACTGTACGGATCACTGATGTTGGCGCCCAGACTGCCCGCCGCTACAACACAACCAATTCATTAGTAAATCAGTGCTATTCACAGGGAAAGGGATGCGAACGCACCGACTCCTGACAAGTAGACGATGCCGACTCTCCACCACTTGTGCACCATTTCCAGCGGTATTCCCAGAATTAGCTGAACCAAGACGTTGAAGAACATGTGGACAAAGCCTGCGTGGATCAGCATATAGGTGATGAACCTCCAGGCCTCCTGACGCTTGCACGGGTCGTATATGAGTGGACTCTTCCACGGCACCGGACCTATGGCTGAGATCTGTCCCAAATCGACGCAATAGTACACGAATACTGAGATCTCCAGAACACTGATCACCAGAAGGAACAGCGGCGGAGGCATACCTTCCATACAAACAGACATTCAATCAACCATTCATTCAGTTGGCAATCAATTCATTTACAATTATATTCCTCGAGATATCTGCGAATAATGGACCGGCGCTGAGACTTCGGCACCACAGCCATCGCCGCGTATCGGATGAGTCGCTGAAGTCGTGGCCTCTGAGCGCCTAAATCTCTGGCGTGAACCTAACCATCAGTCCATCAAATGACAGTCACATGAAAATCAACGCAACATTTGGTGTCTTGTGTTACCATTTTGAGGAACTCATCGTAAGTGATGACCCCATCGGCGCAGATGTCCGACCGCTCCAGCAGTTCGTCCAATACTTCTTCGGGTATGTCTTCACTCAAGTGGTTATTACTTTCCTTAAGGATCCGCTTGAAGTGATGGCATTCAATGACACCGTCTTTGTTGGCGTCGTATTTGTCAAACACCGGACGCCACAACTGATCCATCGGTTAATATAGGGATAAATGAATGAATGGATTACTAATAAGACAATCAGTGGTAATAAGTGTCACAAACTCTGTCCATCTGAAGACTGACAGCCTGTTGATCATCGCCACTGTCGGCGCCGTTTGCTCGCATTTTAACCATTTTTGGTGACAATCAGTGAATAAATAATAATTTGTGTGAAACTAGTGATCGGTTTAAGTATATGTTTGGATGAGTTTGAGTCTAATGTATGGACTATAAGGCAATCAAATGACTGAATGAGTGAATCATTGACTCAAATGAGTGAAACACTTATTCAATGATATCATAAACGCTTTCATAACTCATAACAACACAAAATTCAACACTTTATACAAGACTTCATTTCAAACGTTAGTTGATTTCAGAATTGACTTTTAGTACAATGTATTCAATGAATGCATAGACAGACTGAGAGTACAGAATGTATAGGATTTTCCTCAATGTTGTGTTCAATGGATATATGAATAGCATTCATATGAATACCGGTTCTGTATTCACATTATTGTTCGTTATATAAACTACAGGTAGAGTCAAATGCCACACATTTGTCACACTTTTATT